TTATCCGGATGTTGACCATTACCTGATGTATCAGCTAAATCCGTACCAAAATCACCTTGAACAGACGGTAAACTTGTACCTAAAACTCTATTTGTCTCGTTATTTGTTGTATTAGCTAAAAAAGATTTTTCTTGACTTGTTCCCGTACCTAAACAGTATCTGCAGCCGCTATCGCAGCATTAACTGCCGAACAAGCTGCAGCTATCTCTTCATCATACGACGGCGCATATTCTAAATCCAAATTTTGTATAATAGACGGTATATTTCCGCTATCAGAATCATTTATGTCAACGTAATCATTACCGTCGTCACCTGTTGAAACGTCAAGGGCATCAGATGGCAAATCAGTTTCATCTGTAATACCTTGTTCACTTACAGTTTTCCAAAAAACACAATCTGTACGTGGCTTTTGTCCAAATACAATTTCGAATGGGGTTGTATTAACTGCTCGAGACAAACTAGTATTCATTGAATACACGACGGGCAGAAGACATTCAGTCCAATACGTTGTGCCATGGTGATGCATGAATTTACCTAAAATATTACACAAAGTCGCATTACCACGTTCAACTAAACCCTGTGATTGGGGATGACGTGGTCTTCCATTCACGATAGTCAAACCTGTCCATGTTTTCATAAGATCTTTAATTATTTGAGCAGTAAATTCACGACCATTATCACTTTGCAGTATGCGACAAGGTCCAAATTGATAGAACAGCTGCTGAAGTTTTTCTAAAACATAATGAGCCTCTTTTGTTGGTAAAGCAAAGGCCCAAGAATATTTGGAAAAATGATCACGACAATGAAGAATCCAGTTGAATTGTTTATCTGGCCGTGTACGCAAATCAATGAGGTCGATTTGTACACGAGTCATAAAACCTAAAGAAATAATTGCTTTTGGCACAACATGATTCTTAACCGGCTTTCGAACCTGACAAGCTACGCAACCCGAAAGAAAAATATCGATTGCTTTTGAAGGTATCCAGCTATAATGTTGAGATATCTCATATCGCACCTTGTCGCGACCACCATGACCAGTTTGTTCATGAGTTTCATGAAGTATATGATAAAATGATTCAAGCATGACAACGGTTTTTCCTGTATCAATAGCACACAGAGTATCAGCACCAACAAGATTACTTAATTTAAAATATTTTACACATCATGCACGATGTTGTGGATCAATATCTGTGTTTTCACCAGCCTTACCTTGCTTTAAAACATTCATTATATCTTTACACATAGTCTTTGTTATAACCCATTTCCCACGCATCTTTGGCGCCAAAGTCTGAATATGTGCATCAATCTTTGAATAAAAGCCTTTTCCATCAGCACTTACCTCATTAGCCACTTCAGTGATTATCGTGGCCGCAGCCATTATCGAAAATAGATTGAATAGCAAGTAATAATAATATGAGAAAATATAGTACGAGAAAGAATAGTGATGACATTAAACATAGCTGGTCGATATTTATAGCTGAATTTTTTCTTAAACATAAGCCATGCCAGTTTGAATAATAAGCTCGTTAAGACGAAATATAAACCCTTTGAGCTTTTATTATTAGAACTTTTGCACAACAGATTACGGGAAACATTTTTTTAGAAAATGTGTGTTATTAGTCAGACTTGTAGACCTCTTTGAAGTAAAACCTTTTCATCTTTGCCGAGTGATATCATCATATTTTATTAATAGAACGTGTTCTATTTTCTAAATTAATTAGACGTTTAAAATACATATTTTCTATTTTCATTCTATTGCAGATAGCAAAAGAACTTTAAACTTAATTGCTCCGCAATAAAGCTCATTATTTGAAGTTTATGCGTTGTGAGCAAAAAAGAACCAATTTATTTGACACAAACAGTAAATAAAAAAGTCAGTATGTCATTTACGACGACTAAATCCATAATCATACACTTGACTTATGGAATTGATCTGAAATGAAGGTTTTATAGAAGCTTGGTGGTTTTCTCGTTTTCAAGACTCTTCTTTTTGATTCACAAAATCTGTATCTTTTTCAAATGTTGACAAATAAAAAGAAATTCATCGTAAAACAAGACATTGTTTCATTACAAGCAATTTTCTAGTCAATTTTCTAATCAATTCTTTCGTGAATTATCTTTTTTTAAATTTTTTTTTTAATTTGACGTTAGCCTAGGCCAATATCACATTGGCCTGATTAATTCTAAATTGTACTTTGGACTAGTCCAATCTTAGATTCGCCTGGCGTTTCCAGTCCAATGTCACATTGGACTGACATTTTTTATTACATTTTACTTTGGACTAGTTCATACTGAAACTTGACTTTGGCCTTAACCAACTCTAGGCGAAAGTGAAATTAGACTTTGGACTAGTTCAAAGTGGAATTTGACTTCGGCCTAGGCCAATATTACATTGGACTGAATTTCACTTTGGACGCTAACATATACATAAGAATAAGAATAAGAATAAGAATATACATAAGAATAGTCAAGACATATCTGTCCGTCTGTCTGTCTGTCTGTCTGTCCGGAACGCTCAACATATATACATAAGAATAAGAATAAGAATATACACATATCTGTCCTTCTGTCCGGAACGCTCAACATAGAAAATTTTTACAACATATATAAATGCTGGGCGTCCGTGGTTTTCCACGGGTTATTTCTAGTTTTCTAATAGAAAATCGAGTCCTTCTGCTGACTGAGAATTTCCAGTGGTGGTAAATGTTTCTGTAGACTGAAAATATTGTTTTAACGCTGCAGGAGCTATCGTACGTAAAATATGGCCATTAGCCATGAGAAATTGATACTTTGGATGATTAGATGAATAGAAAAGAAGGTCGACGATTGATTTTGTTTCTGTTAGAAATGCTGAATGATTTTTCCTTAAATATAGTGTTGATGCATATAATGTTGATGTTTAGAAGATTTTAAATATTCATGTATTATCTCTAGACTATTTCCATATAATGCAACAAGTAAAATTTCCATTGTTTTATGATGATCAGAGCATCTTCGGACATATTGCTTTGCTTTTTCTGTTTTGAATCGTAGACATTGGACGAGATCTGTGCCAAATATTTCCCAAATAAAATCCGTGAAGCATTGGCATGCATTCATCTCAATGTGCCCTAATCCTGGTCTAATTAGTAGATTTTTGAGTGACATGTAATGAAATTTATTATCCAGAATAGTTGAAGACTTATGGATAGATTTGTAATGTCGTTGAAGTTGTCTGAAGGAAAAAAATTCATCATCACACACATCATAGAGATAATTTCTGTTCATCAACTTCCAACCAAGACAATACGGAATTCCATCTACCACGACTGACATCCATTTTCTCTCATTATCGGGATTACTGTCCGAATGAAGATGAGAATTTCGTAAATTAAATAAGATATCTTTAACAGCATTTAAGGAAGACGGATTAACGAATTCTGGTTCTCCAACTATGATATTCGATTTTTCTTTAGGACAATATGACGGTATTTGATCAAATGTCTTCGATAGATTTTTACTGACATTTAAACCTTTATAAAAGGTTGATGAAGATACTCGGTCAGTAGATGTTGCTTTTAATAACTGAATTTTACAATTCGTACACTTTTGTTTATGACTACTGTAAACAGCTTCACCTAAAACATTCGAATTTTTTTGTGAAACCGGTATTACTGGTTCTACTTCCACTAGGACGAATAGCCAAATAATAACGACATATCAGCTACCGTCTATAAGCATGATGAGTAATCAATGAACTACTTACATGACGAACAGATTTTCTGATCTTTTATTTCATCTTGTTTAACTATTTCATCAATTAAATCATGTCCATTACTATCTATAGGGTAAAAAAAAAAATCCAAAGGTAAAAGATTATAATAAAATTTCCCCGGCATGAAACAAAAGAAAAAATAAAAAAATGCGATTTTATTGTCGCTAAAGTACTGCTTCTTCAACCTCTAAATTGGAAACTAGGAGATAGTCGTTAAAGGCTAACATAATTCTTCGTTTTTACAAAACCTTATAAAATTTTCCGGAATAAAAATTTTTTCCCCCCGACGACCGTCGGCGCAAACGGGTAGATTCTGCACCTCTGGCGATGCACTGCGACAAATGTATCATGCTCTCGAAAAAAATTCCGACTAAAACATGATGCATGCGTCCAATGCATCTAAAGACTGAGGAATTTTCTAAACAACTAGCTAAAAAGTTAAATTGGACCATGATCGCTGCTGTTGACCAAAGAATCCACGTTTTATCAGTCTGCTTTCACTGAAAGACCTCTCTGTGATTTTCTATGATATGCAGAGTCTGTGCATCTATTCAAATCACTAGTGTAGTGATATCTACATAGACCAATTCCTATAAGTCAGGTTTCCGCCAATCCAACAAACGGTCGCAAGCTCGCGCTCGTCAGATCGATTCGCTTTTTATAGTACCTATTATTTATGGCTAAAAGAAGACAATGTCGAGTATACTGATTCAAACGTAAGTATGATTCATTTTAACGGTCAATCGTGATTTTGAATCGAAAGAAACTAATGCATATGAGAAACAAAACCTTTTGATACGGAGAGCCTTATTGACTACTATTAATATATAGGACTGTAAAAAGTATGAACCAGCTTGCGCGAAAGTTTGATGAAACCCTTTTTTGATCAAAAATCTTCGACTCTTTTACCAAAATTCATCCTTATGGCCCGTAGCAATGCTCTCATTGGCACTATAAGAACCAATGGTTACACTATGCAAGGCCTAATGTATCATATATAACAATATTTAGCGAAACTACACTATTTCTTCAACTGAAAATATTCTAATTTTATTAGAATATTTCTACTTCTCTTCAATCTGTTTTTTATATTTGTTTAGCCCGGCTAACGTTAGAACTTTCTGAGGAAAATCGAACTAATCTTTGAGTGAAATATTTCTGCGAAAGTCAATAAAATGCAAGAAAACGGACGTGGAATCAAAAGTAGACAACAAGAAAATCGAAATTGATTTTATAAAGTATAGAAATTAATTCTCACGTTTGATTTTAAAAGAGTTTATACACCTAATAACTGAGGACTTTATATGTATGAAATCGTCAGCGCTCGGTCGAAATATAACATAAAAACGCTTAAGACTCAGAGCTGTCAGATTATCATTATACAATATAACCATCAACCGCAAAACAAATTTCCGAATTTTAGAATTACAGACTTTCAGAACTTCAAATTTTCATGGTTATACTTATACACTATTTCAGAGTTTCAAAGTTTCAGAATTTCAGAATTTCCGAAATTCAAACTTTTATGGTTATACCTATACTTATACAGTATTTCAAAGTTTCGAACTATCAGAATTACAGAATTTCAGAATATCAAACTTTCATGGTTATACTTATATCAGTAATGTTTTTTCACTTTATTTTTACTCATGCTGCTTTTTCTGTTAAGGAAAAAGTTTTACTTTCCGATTAAAAAAGCGAATCAAAAATTTGTTTGGGTATATAGGAAAATAGAGAGAGCAAGTATTTCTGATCAAAATGAGATATTTCCCAGCTCTGAAGGATGTTCTGATCAAGAGTTATGAGAGTTTTGCTGGAAGCCCTAAAACATGCATCAGATACTGGCGCCACCATATCTCGAAAACGACTTTCACCTTAACACCATTTCGTAGTTCTCAGATTTCTCTATAACGAAGCATCGCAGAGAGCTCGGGAAGCTGAGGCTTAAATTGAAGCTGACACAGCTAGAGTTTTAATATTTGGCCTAAATTTGTGATTAGAAAAACATTGCCAAAATTCATCACACTTTTTCGAATTTTGAACTTTTGACGCTGATCATTAATCTGAAAAGTGAAATATAAAAAATCCGACTCAGTTAGCCTCTAGCCACATGTGTTTTCGTTTATTTAAGACCAGCCCGACCTCTCCACAACGTTTCATTCCCGAGAAATCTGGGAGCTACGAACAGCCCCATTTTGGTTTTAGACATTCAGACTTTGAGACTTTCATGCTTTTAAAATGCTAGACGTTTACACATTTAGACTTTTAGACTTTAATGCTTTTAGACTATTAGACGTTTAGACTTTTAAACACATAGAGTTTGAGACTTCCTAGCTTTCAGATGATTAGATATATAGACTTTGAGACTTTGAGACTTTTACTGAACGCTATTTTCACAGACACAGGATTCGTATGACACGAATCCGAATAATACATGAGAATCTGTCCTCAAATTTTCATTACAATTTCTAAGTTTATTCTTTCAAACGTATATTTTTTTAAATTTATTTAATCAATGACTCATATAAGATAAAATATTTCTCAAAAAAACAGACCCGTAAGGTAATATGGAAAAAAACAAAAAAAGAGGGAAAATTACACAAGATAAGCGAATTTATAAAACAAGTACCTATATAATACAAGAATTCTAGACAAGCTTGTAAACTATAAATCATAAAGTTTGAAAAATTATTATAATTATTCAAAGTCATAAAAAGGTAAGCTTTTATTTATTTTCATATGCATGTTATCAGGAAATACTAACTGAAAATTGTTTTAGTTTCAATTTTAGATAATAATATGGTTCGAATTGAGGGTGTTTGTTTGGGACATGAGGAAAAATTCACTGGTAATTACCAAACAATACAGGAATTAAAAGAAGAAGTGTTTGCAAAATATAGGAAATATTTGGTTAAAAACAATGTTAAAGAAATACGTATAAGTTTTATCTTAACGCATATAAATAAATCAACTGGTAATGAAGAATTGTTAGAAGATATAAATGTAATAAAGAATCATAATGGTCCATTGTTTCGATTCTGTGTGAAACGAGTATGTATAATAACATCAATTATTGTACTTTTAGTGTAGAACATAGTGGAACGGTTAGTAGAAGTGAAGAAATAATCCATAAAAGAACGATTAATTTTTAATCTTTTTTAAAAAGAAATCTACTCAGGTCAAGGATTATGACGTCTGTGTCTCTGTATTTCTGGCTGAAAACCCGCCGAAAAGACATCATTTCGGCCCCGTAAACTCCGAAAAATGGTAGGAAGTGAGAAACATAAATACGATGATCGTATCCTGCGATCGGCTCTGTCCGATTGTGGTCGCTTCTGGTCAGAATCGGAAAAATCAGAACATCGGATTTCTGGTTCCAAGTTGATACCATTTTCCAGATTTTGTCCGGTCAGAATCAGTCGTGCATCATTCACCTGAGTATACAGTCTTTTTTGGTAAAAAGAGAATGTACAGATTACAACCAAAGTCCATTTTAAATCATTTACGATTCATTTTATCTCGAAAAATCAATCTTTATAAACATCATCGTTTGTCACTGATTTCAGTTTGTGATGTGAACGAAACGCACATGAACTATGAGTTTATTATTCAAATGATTAGGAAAAACCTTAAAACAGACACGTGATTAAATTAATCGCAGAAAAAGCGTTTTTCTCAAAAGTTTGTGTTAGAGTGTTATTTTTACAGATCTTTTATTCATGGGCAATGATATCACATTGTACCGTCAAAGGAAGCTACGAGAGTAGATTGTTTATAATGAGATGGTCTAATTTTCTCGTTTTACCTTAGAACACTTGTTAGATTTCGGATATAATAAAATCTGACGAGATACGTTGAGGGCCGAAAAAAGCCTGGACTTTTATACATGAAACAAAATAAAAATATGCATATGTGAAAAAATAAAGACGTATATGCTTGTTTGGACCCTCACCATATGTCAATTGAAAGAGTAAATAAAGCCGTTTAAAATGCGCTGGTTTCTGCGTATTTCATGTGTCATGTCATGATTGAATTTATTAAAATAATGAATACTATATCTAATTACAAGTGAGCATACTCTGAAAATCACCCTAAAACCTCACCCAATTTGTTGCTTTCCAAATGATAATAATAGAGTTTTGTTCAGTTTTTTATGCTCTTTCGAATGGTAGAGTTGGAATTTTAAAGAAAATTAAAATTTTATTAAGTAATTGCTAATTATTATTAACTACTAATTAAATATTAACCAATTAATTAACCACAATATAAGGTATAATTACTTTTTACCAAAATGTAGCCCATTAAATTCTGCATCGAATGGTACATAGAACAACTTGCTGATGTTGTGAAATAACGTAAACATTAGCCAAACACTAAAAATGTGCTCTACTTTTCCCCTACATTTTACTACAGTGTTTAGTATTTTGACTATAACATTGTCATTACTCAATGAAAATCAAAAAGTTTTTTTACCAAAATGATTAGCGAAAAAAGCTCTACAAAAATAGATATAAGAGAAAATTTTAAGAATATCCTTGCTATTCGTTTATGTGTAAAAATAAAAAAGTCCAGGCTTTTTTTGGCCCTCAATGTAGGATATTTTCTACGGATTCTTTGGAAAATATATTTTGATTATATGATTCTCATGTAGTTAATGCTGACGTTTTTTTTCATAGATATGGGAGACATGCTGTGAATGTTTAAACGCATTTGGTATTACTCCTGATCGAATACCATTTGAATGTGAAAAAACAGATTGTTGTTATCAATATTGCAGTAATTGCGTGCGAACAATGAAGAGTTTCAAGAAGGAAAATAGAGAAATACGTTGCATGTATTGTGGTAATTCATCTTCGGAAAGTCCAAGACAAAATCGGTTATTATTAGATTTATTATGGGAACAATATACTGTTAAGTATGGTATCGAGTCATTACCAACAACAAATATTATGCCACGAACACTGTCAAATGATATCGAATGTCGTATAACTCATATTAAATCATTAATACAAACATTAAAAGGAAAAATGGCTAAAACTACTTCTGTGTCTGAACTGAATAAGCCGGAAATAGAATGTGTGGATACATTAATTGAAAATTCGAAAAAAATTGAAAATGAAATAGAACATGCGAACTCATTAGTTGCAAAGTTAGAAAAAATAAAAGAAAAAACTGATCAAATCCCATCAACAGCTATTAATGATATTGATGGCAACAAGTTAAATGATTATTTAAAAGAATATGTAAATCAGCTAACTGGTGACCGTTGTGGTAATCGAAAGTGTGAACATTTTATCTGTATATGTGAACAACTTTTATATTACAATCAAGAAGCTGAATTCAAAAGATATTTTCCAGCATTAAATAAGAAAATGAACGAATGGGAACATTCATTTAGAACAGAGGAAAAGTTTCAACCAAAAATCATTGAAGGTTTTAAAGCATGTCAAAATGATTTAGGTCGTTATATTATACCAAGTATACCATGCAGAGTAGGGGTCATTGGCCGAACAAGTGCTGGAAAATCTTCTTTGTCAAATGGTTTAAGAGGAGTTAAAAAGAATTATAATGAAAAAATTAAAGCTAAAGATGATGAAAATTCACAAAAAGAAACGACTAGAGATGAAATAATGGCTTCACCAATGCGCGTTAGAAAAAGTACATATTGTCGATTGGAATTTGAACATCAGTATGATAATGGTAGAAAAATAATATTTGTTGATATCGAAGGTTCAACCGATACTGATTTGAACTCTAAATTGGCAAATTATTTTGATGAAATAAGAAAAGCCGATTGTGATTTATATATTATTGTTTTCGATCATCAATTTACAGATATTCAACACGAGTGGCATGATTATATTGTAAATCAATTGCATCGTGAATGTTGGCTTGTACGAAGCAAAGTAGATGAATTATTTCTCAACTTATTTAAAGAAGAGGTTGGTCAAGACTTCGATTCATCAGATGAAGTAACCAAAAATAAATGTGGAGAGACTATAATTGAGCAAATCCGAGACACTGTTAGCTTAGATATCCATGGAAAAAAACTATCTAATGTATATTTAACGTTCACTTCATACGATGAAAATAGTCGGAATGAAAATTTATCCAAAATGTCATATTCCATATTTGATCTCGGAAAATTGATAAATGATATTAATAATTTACCCATCAGTTTGTATGAAAATCGTCTACAAAAAATGGCTGTGTGTGCTATAGCTAAAGTCATTAATAATTGCTTCCGACGTGGTTATGTTGTAAATGTTATGAAGTATAAAATTGCTGCAGGTATTACTGCTGTTATACCATTTCTTGATTTAATTCCAAGGTATTATGGACGAGAAGAAATTCGTCAAGCATTTGGTGTTAATACTCGTTCGCGTTTTATGAACTGGTTGACTGGTGAAACAGATAAATTTAAAGATTATTTAAAAGAATTTGATATTGCCATCAATGAATCTAGATTTGGAACATCAGCTTTCAGTAAAACATTTCGAAAAAATGCTGCTATTACTCAACAAACAGCAAAAGGTTTAACATCATTTACTATAAAAGGTGCAACGACTCTTGGTGTTGCTGGTGTTTCAGTTTCAGATGATGTTATGAGAGCAGTTGGAGTTGGTGCAATAAATGCTGTACGTGGTGTGTCTACATCTTTTATTGTTGTTGGTGCAGTTCTTACAGTAGGTATGTGCGCCTGGGCAGCTGTGTCCAATGGTAAACAAATGTATGATTATTTGCATCGATTATGTGATGATTTAATAATTATTAGTGACCATGTGACAATGAAAATTATTAAAGATAATAATGAAACACGTAATTCCTTTTCAGAACCAGAATAATTAAATATATCTTTTGTAATGTCAGTATTAAATACCGCTTTTTAATTGTATATATCATTATTGTTTTTCTTTAATAAAGAAGCAATATGCAGTAGCATATATATAATTCTTTAAATTTTTAGTCAATTATTTTAAATCTTCTCTAACAACCAGACTTTTTGAAAATGATCTCAAATGATAGAGAATTAATTTCTGAACAAAGTGAGACGTTTTCGAGCCTTCTCTGACTTATCGATGAAGGGTAATATCCAAAAACTAAAAAATCGAATTCGAAAATTCTTATTAGCCATCTTTTTTTAGTTTTTTCGATATTACTCTTCATCGATAAGTCAGAGAAGGCTCGAAAACGTCTCACTTTGTTCAGAAACCAATTCTCTATCGTTTGACATCATTTTCACACTTAGTCGAAAATCACCTGGACGTTTGTTGCTTTCTTTCCAAAGAAAGTCATTTTTCCCGGCAAGAAAGATGAATTTAAAAAATCGGCACATATACTTTTGAGGCTTATTTCAAGGCGATTCCTTTCACATATGACCCAATGCGATAGTTGTTAACACGAAAAACTAGATACAGTTACAAAATCGATCACTCCGTTTTGACACGTACCGGTTTCGACATCCATGTCAAACGCGTGTTTACCTCTGGGATGATCTAGACAGCGTTTTTCTAGATCAATTTTTGACGCTGATCCAGAAGAATATGGTTAAAATTTTCTAATTTGCAACACAACTTTAAAAGAATGATTTTTATGATGGAGATCGGTTTTTGAGTCCTTCACAGTTTTTTGCATTTTCTCTATGAAGAGCGAGCTTTAAAAAGCTACAAAGGTGATATTTGAGATCAGCTCGATGCGGCGAATCAGAATCTGTATAATAAAGTCAGAAAAAAAATTTACTACAATTTTGCATTACGTGCATCTTATATAGAATCAAATGGTAACATCTTTACTATGAAGATTATTGCGGCGTATGAGCCAGCGACATTTGACATTCACTCATTCGTGGCAGCTGCACTTTTCCGAGATAATTTGACGCTCTCTGTAGATGGATCACAGTGTGTATTTTTCCATAGGCCAGGCAGACATTTGCAATAGATGCAGTCCCAAAGTCTATAAACACTTTTTTTATAGGTTTTCAGATATGCTCTTTCCAATGGTGTGTTTTTCCAAGTTCAAAGAGGCTTTCATCTAGGTTCTCCAGAGATCGTGTCTGTAGAAAACCCACACATAAGTATTCTGGAACTTTATAAAACGCATCATTGGAAAGAGCAAATCTCAAAACCTATAAAAAAAGTATTTATAGGCTTTCGGACTGCTTCTATAGCAAATATCAAAATCCTTAGCCAGAATTGTGACTCTATGCTTCGAGTTTAGCATTTCGGTAGATGCAACAAGTTTCACAAAAAACTTACTAATCGCACATCATTCGATGCAGTTTCTTGCGCTGATTCTGAATATGTCATTTGTATTGAATAACAACACTTCGGGGGGAGAAAAATGGAGAATACCTCCAAAAACCACTGGTTTTTGGAAAATCTACAACTCAGGATAGCACCTTTTCGCTAACTGTGTGCACGCATTCTATGTAGCTCAACATTTCCTGAAAGGTTCATCTAAATTGGAGTTTCGCTTTTCTTCGCGCATGTACTTTAATGAATGCATCTTTTTGGAAACTCGCTATTAAATTGTACAATAACTCTTTTCCACCTTGAAAACTCCTAAACTAGAAATTCTTTTTAGCAATCGATAGAGGACTTGCCAAAGATTAAGAATATATATTTGTTTGTTTGACCTTTTTTGCGTTTACTTTTGCGTTTAATTCAGTTTTCCGACAGTGTCTCTTTTTTTCAGGGTAATTTCTGTCTATATGAATTTCCCAACATAAGTATGCCATAAGAAAAAATCTGTTTCGTCATCGAATACAGCGTGGTCCAAAGTATATAAATCACTATTTGAATCACCGAAAAGCGCACTTTCAGTTTTTCACCAAAAGTCCACCTGGACGCACGCTGTGTGGGTATAGTAACAATGTCCTCTTGAACAGTACAAATGTTATACTTCGAGTCGATTCTACTACACCCATGGTGTTTCAGTGTCAGATGATGTTATGAGAGCAGTTGGAGTTGGTGCAATAAATGCTGTACGTGGTGTGTCTACGTCTATTATTGTTGCTGGTGCAGTTCTTACAATAGGTATGTGCGTGCATATTTTTATGTTTAAAGAATGAAATAAGAAAAGAACAACTTTTATATTTTCATCAAATGTTCGTCTCTTATATATTCAAGGAGGAGAGTGCTCACTATAAATTTATTTCGTATTGTTCCAACTTCGCGAACTAAAATTACAATAATTAGAAAAGTCCCATTCTCATTTCTTCTACTAGGTTAAAGTCCACGAGTTGTACACGATACTGATCTGTTTTCTAGAAAAGG